CCCCAAAACCCCAAAACCCCAAAACCCCAAAACCCCAAAACCCCAAAACCCCTTTTTAAAATGTGATCTTTGAAAATTATTATAAATAAAACTTTTCGAATATGGGATTTCGAATTAGTTTGGTTGTAGTGTTTATAGCGTTTATACGTTATACACTTCAAGCTTGTACAGACGGACAATATGATGATCCAGCAAATCCTGGTACTTGCTTAGCATGTGTCTCTCCTTGCGCGAACTGTTCAGATGCATCAACTTGTACTTCTTGCTTGAGTTCAGATATGATCTTTGTAACACCAAGTAAGTCATAAATTTAAAGTTCATTTGTGATATGTATTTGATTTTCATCATTTTTAAAGGTTATTAACCTTCTCCATATCAATATAAGCCGTCTTTGGGTTCATTCAAAAAGATTCCCTTCTAATCTTATGTTAATAGATTGTAACTTTTGATCCACAAATGAATGGACTAATGCAGGAGCCTGCGCAGCCTGTGATGCAGCCTGTGGAGGCCAATGTGAAGGAAGCGCTACTGGATGTACTAAATGTGCTTCAGGCGAAGTTTTGGACTTGGAAGCAATGACTTGCCATGCTAGTGGGCATACTTGTTCCACAACATCTATTACAATAGATGGGCAGATTTACTGTAGAATGGATAAAATTTATGTTGATCCAACCTCAACCTCTCCTTCAGAGTTAGGAACAATGGCCCATCCTTATAAAACTATTGACCAAGCTTTCATTGAGATTTTCAATTATTGGCCTAAAGCTGACAATCCTGTAAAAGTAGTAGTGAAAGAAGCCACTACAAATAAAGTTTATTTCCAAGAGAGACCTCTTGTGATCAACAGAAAAGACAATGTGGAGATTACAACATACAAGGCTGACGGAACTGTACCAGGTGATCAAGCTAACTTACAAGTTACTAATACTGAGACTTATGCAACCGACCCTACTACTCGTTTTAGTCTAATGACTGGTAAAACCTATGACTATGCTGGTACTGGTTCAGAGCTAGTGGGTAATGCGACAGAGAAGGCAGCCATTGACACCCAATGGTATACCTTCATTATTCTTCAATCTCACTTTAAGATTGATGGCTTCAAAATAGACAATGTTCTCAAGCTAGAGGATGATGATTTTGCTATAATTCACCCTATTTCTAATCTTTTGCCAAGAACTCTAACGATCGACAACTGCCACTTTGTAAACTATGGTACTGCAATGTACACCACTACAAGTATCGGATTCAGCTCTACTTCAGTTACAATCGAAACTCCAAGACTTGTTGGAGGTTTTGTATTCTTAGTTAGTTGCTCTGATCCTACTACTGAAGTTGTCACAGGAGAAGTTGTGATAGATAAGCTAAATTTCTCTGGAGCAAGGTCAGTCCTGTTCAAATACGGAGGTATCTACATGACTGGAACTCAGAACTTTACTATCACTAATTCATATATCGGATCATATGGATTCATGTTTGATGCTAAGCAGCTTACTAGAGCTGACTCTCCTCTAAACTGTCAACCGGATGATGGAGTAAAGCAAATTATTAGACTTGAAAGCAATACTTACGACATGCTTACCGAGTACACTGGTACTCCTCATCATGGATTCATCTGCTCATTCCTTGAATGGTATCCTCGTAAAGATATGGAAGTCTTTTTCATCAATAACACAATGAAGAATATTGCTAAATCATTTTACAGAGTCCTTCTTCTTGATGTAAACTCTGCTGCAGTCACAGTTGAAAATAACCTATTCAAGGATACTACAGGGTCTGTTGATATTTCCCAAATTGATACAACTAAGGACGTAATTATCAGAAACAACACCTTCCAGAACATTTCTTCAACCTCTCAGAACATTATTGTTATTGCTTCTTCCTCAAATGTCTTGATTGAAGACTTCACTATGAACGGAGCTAACCCTGAGCAGGTCTCTAGTTCCATTATCAACCTGAATATGGCGGATAATGCTATCGCTATTCTAAGAGACATCAAATTCACCAACAATATCTTCTTAGGAACTAAAGCTATTGTATCACAGCAATTATTGAGCATTTTTGATTTGACAAACAGTTCCTTCGCTGGCGACCAGATCATGCAGAATACGAATTACATTGATATACAACTGGCTACCAAGATTAGTATCACAGACACCAACTTCACTGGTATAACATACCAGAATGTTGACGATTCTGGAGCCTACCTGATATATGTTGCCTCAGAGCAAAGTAACTCAGCTGCTGAAGACTCTTTCATTGAAAGAATAAAGTTCACCAACATCAAGACCAATGCAATCAGCTTTGGAGGATTCACAGATGCTGTTGCTGGTGGAGCAGGACACCTCTACATTAAAGATGTTGATTTTGAAAACTCTATTTTTAGTAGTCCAGATTCATTGATTTGTAAGCTATAGATGATTAATTAATTTAGCCACCAAAAAGTTCTCCTACGAAGGAGCAAGTAAAATGATTATTACAGAGACCAGGTTTACAGACTTGGAGTTCACTACCTTCGGAAATCTCATTCACTTGACACATAATGCTATACAACCATTTGAGATTACTCAAGTTACTTTCAATCGTGTTTATGGTGCTGGTATTCTTCTTGAGCCTCAAGATATTTTCAATACGAGTATGCCATTGACCTTAGATATTGTTAATTGTACGTTCACTGACAACACCCCATGGGTTGCTGGATTCGTGAATGTGTTTGAGAACTCTGTTGTTCATATCAACATTTCTACATTCACTAACACCGCTTCAGGAGGATCTGGATCAGTTGTTCTTGCTAATTACAAAGAGAATTCTGTTACTATTAGAGATAGTAATTTCACCAACAACTATGCTATTTTGGGAGGAGTATTTTACTCTCAGTTCAGTTCTGTTATCACTTGTATCAACTGTAGATTCAACAACAACATTGCTATCAGAGGAGGAGTTGCTTTCTTGAACAGTAACGGAAGAATTGATCTCCAACAGAGTGATCTAACTCTAAATCAGGCTCTAAATGCTCCATCTTTATATATCTCTGCTTGTCAAGCAGAGTTTTCTGTTGTTTCAAGCTCAGATATTTACCTAAACAATGTTATTACTATGGAACAGCTACTTGCACGTTCTGCAGCTAGAACTGATCATATCATCGATGCTTACATCCAAGAGGTGCAAGACAATAGGATCTTTTATGAGAAATCTGTTAGTGGTAGCAAAAAGTCAGCTATTTCGATGATCAAAGGAAAACTCAGAGTAAATGAAAATACTAGAATTTTCAATCAGATTGATTTCTTGGGTACTTTCGAATCAGAGATTGAGATTATTGATACTCTTTTTGAGAATGTTACACTTAGTAGTGGCCACATCATCTTCCATCTTTTATCATCAACATTTACATATACTAACTCAACAATGAACAGTATCGATTGCCCAGAACAAGATGAAGCAATGTTCCAAGTCAGATTAGAGTCTACTTTTAAGACTCAAGGGAAGAGAGCTCTCATTAACAATACCAATTGTCAATTTGCTTTCTTGCTGTACTCTACTGCTCAGATTTATGATATTACCTTTGATACAGCTAATCTACTGGAAGCTCACATTGACTCAATTGAAAGTGATCTTGAGTTTAAAGAGACAATACTGAGGAATGTAAATACATCAGCTACAGCTTTAATGGCTATTGAAAACTCAGGTTCTTTAGTAACAACGTCAGCTCACTTCTTGAGCTCTAATAAGTTCTATTTCTCTGTGACTGGGTCAACCTTGACTTTCTTCAACACTACATTTCAGAACGATTTAGGACAAAACATCAGAGCTGCCATTTTTGAAGAATGTAATGTTAATATTAACAACAGTACCTTCCAGCACTTGAGCTACAACGATCTTGGAGGAGCGATTGATACTCTCAACAGTCAAGTAAACCTTCTTGGAGGTCTCTTCTACAATAATTCTGCACCAAAGGGAGGAGCTGTCGCCTTTAGATGTGAAGAAGGAAATACTTGAGTATATAATGTTACTGAAGTTACCTTTAGAATGAATACTGCTGCTACTGATGGAGGAGCTATGTACTATGATTTCTATAAGCCAATCACAAACAACAACATTTATGAGAATAATGTTGCTAATTATGGGCCTCATCTGGCAGGTTTCCCTGTGAAGATTGAAGTCGACACTCTTCCTGCCCAGACCTATGTCTCTGGCCAGCAGATTGAAAAAGAAATTAAGTACAAACTAGTAGATCATGACGGACTCACAATTGCTACCGATTCGGATTCAGTCATTACAATTTCCCCTGTGGTTGCTACTGATAAAGTCATTGGTAACACTGATGTGACTGTTGAAAATGGAGTTGCCACTTTTAAAGATGTTACTTTTATCTCCAAACCAGCTGCCTCAAATATCTCATACACTGTATCTTCCTCCAATATTGATGAGGATAAGATTGGTAAATCCTTTGGGATGACCTTAAATCAAACCATTCAGACTTTAACTATAAGTTTCAGAGATTGTATTGTTGGAGAGCAACAATCTACCGATCAATGTACTCAGTGCCCAACTGGTAAATACTCTCTAATTGTTGGAAATGATGAGTGTAAGATCTGCCCCAAGCACGCCACCTGTCTAGGAAGAAATGAAATTGAGGTTGACAAGGGTTACTGGAGATCATCCTTCGCCTCTGATGTTATTCACGAATGCTTAAATGAAAATGCTTGTCTCCAATATGATTTCTCTGAAGGACTTGATACTCCATACAAGTGCAGGAAAGGATATGCTTCTAACCTCTGCCAACAATGTATCAAAGAAGGAGATGATCAATACCAAAGAACTGGAGATAATGGATGCGGTATCTGCCCAGACCCAGTTCTAAATGCTTTCAGATTGTTTGGTCTACTTCTCCTGTTGGTTATTTTCGTTATTGTTATCATTTGGTCAAATATTAGAACTCAGAAGGATTCAGAGAGTGCTATTCTGATCAGAATTTTAGCAAATTACTTCCAGATTATTACATCAGCTGCTTCATTCAACTTGACTTTCCCAGATAGTTTGGATGGATTCTTCCAAGGAGTCAAAGCTGTAGGAGAAAGTGCCAGAATCTTCCTTTCTATTGATTGTTTTGTTCAAAATGTCCCAATGGTTAAAGACAACAATACCACTGAATACTTCAAAGCTTTCATGACTGGGATAAGTCCTTTTATCTTTGTTGCTGTCGTATTTGCTTGCTGGGGAATTATAAGAATATTCAAGAGTTATTCATGGATGCAACTAAAGAACAGAATCATCATCTCTACCTGTGTTGTACTCTTCCTTCTCCATCCTTCAATCACAGGAATGTCTCTTGGACTCTTCAATTGTTTTGAGATTGATGATGGAGAATTCTGGCTTTTCAAAGATCTGAGCATCAAATGCTGGAGTGGAAGCCATCCTGCCTATGCATTTGGATTGGGAACTCTTATGATCCTCGTATGGGTTATCGGGCTTCCAACCTTTGGATTCTTTGTCATTAGGCACTACAGAAATAGGTTAGAGGAAGAGTTTGTAATCTTCAGATACAGAATCCTCTTCCAGGGATACAAGAGAGAAGCATACTATTGGGAGTTTATAAATATTTTCAGAAAAGTGTCAATTGTAATGATCAATACATTCTTAGGAATTTATCCTCCAATCTACAAGACATTTGTAGCTACTCTAACTCTTGCTATCATTCTGAGACAACAAGAGCAGATTCAGCCTTATAAGATCAAGATCATGAACGAGGTAGAATTCAGAGAATCGACTGCATCTATTGTTACTTTGTTCGGAGGTATGTTCTTTATCCTCGAAGATCTTCCAGGAGTCATCAGGGTTCTACTAGTTTTTGTAATCTTCATCACCAACTTTTGGTTCTATTCTCTATGGATTCACATGTTCTTCAAGAGGTCAAAGTTCTCAACCTTAAGACTCATCGCGTACTTCTTCGGAAAGCTTTCTTGTCTCGGAAAGGAATACTGGACTGAAGAGCACAAAACAATGCAGAGTAATCATGACATGGACTTCGTATTTGGAAAATACGACGCTAAGGATACAAAATACAACAAAGTCGAAGAAGAAAGTAAAGACCAGAGCTTCCAAGGCTACGCACAGGGTGATAACATTATTAACGACCTCTCGGCAGGAGATACTGGAAGTTTGAAAGAAAAAGACAAAGCCAATGTCAAAGATGTTGATGACAAAGCTGGTAAAGAAGTCACAAAGAAGAAAGGCAAAAAGAAAAAGAAGAAGATTATTAGGAAGAAAAAGAAGAAGGGAGCTAAGAAGGAAGCTGGTGAAGAAGCAGGAGATGCAGATGAAGGAGAAGAAGAACTTAATGAACAAGATGAGTTAGAACAAGATATTAACCATGAGCTCGATCATGCTGAAAATGAACAAGAAATTGATGATGGTGATATTGAAGGAGACGAACCTGAAGAAGAAGCCCCAAAGCCAAAGAAGAAAAAGAAGGTTAAAAGAAAGAAGAAGACCGCAAGAAAGAACGAAGAAAAGGTAGATATCTACCCAGAACAAGATCCCGATGATAAGGGATCAAAATCTCCTAAAGGAGATGAAGACGATTTCTCAGCTGATGAAGAAGCTGGTGAAATATAGTCATTCACTTACTTACATTCATGATAAACCACCTTTTGGTTTCAACTATATTATTCAGAGCTGGGGTTTTGGGGTTTTGGGGTTTTGGGGTTTTGGGG